ACCTATTAAGCATTAATGAGCAAAAACCGTAATGTTATAAAGCAAACATTCACTGTGTTCAGTAGTTGTATGAACTGTGATAATTCTGTTACGAGAGATGAATTATCATATATTCTGAATGCTTCCCCAGAGAAGCACTAGCTGACGCCATCAGTGCAATGAAGTCGCCATCTCTATGTGGGATGTGAGTCATCAGTTCTTATGAGAATATAAATATAAATATAAATATTTGTCCCAGACAACTGTTTTATCATATGCGGTTGCAAATCAAGGCTTCAATACTTGTAGAGGTATTTATCAGTGTGACGTATTTGCTGACTACAAATGACTCCGCCCTTACATTTTATATGCATTCGTTAAAAACTGGTGCACTGGAGGCAAGAATAATATCACAATTGCCGTCCATTCAGTGACATAAAGATGGACGAAAAGTTGCCACCTGAATGTCACTACCGAGGCAATAGGAAATATGAGTGAACCCTATCTCATGGAAATGGGAGTAAAAATTTCAGTTCAGTATATTACAGTACAAAAGAAAACCCTCAATTGGCTGAACATTCAGTTTCGTCTTAATTCATTTACCTGAAATTAAGTCATGGGGGCGGTTGTTTGGAGAGATTGTAATCCTCTTCTTTACTTCATATGAAATATGTAGATAAAAAGACGTCTTACTTAGACTTGTACATATTTATATTTTAATGTAGGTATTATTTTATGTTTTGGAATTTGCATTACAAGTCTCTGTAATTATATATATATATATATATATATATATATATATATATATATATATATATATATATATATATATTCACATTTCGGGAATTCGGTATACTTGCGTAACCGCTAGCTTAAGATTTTACTTATTTCACACTCACGGTTACCGACACCTACTTCATTACTAAACTTGAAATCATGAGTAAAGTGGAAAGCTCAGTATCATTATTTTCACTCATGAAATTATACGACTGATAAACATGTATTGAAGTATATATATATATATATATATATATATATATATATATATATATATGTATCAAAATAGTGAAATCTACGCGAAGTTTACAACCATCAAGAGTTCCCCAGGCGAACTATACTGTTCAACCGTCATCATCTCCATCATTTGTCTTGCTGAAATATAAGATACAAACGAGAGACACTGACAAACAGTAGACGTTAAGAAGGACAGCATTTCTTACGAGCATAATTATGGTGTAACTATGACTCTGTGAAGGGAAAATCTGCCTCATAGTTTGGCATTCGTGTGTCAACCTTAAGAAATTCTACACAAGGCAGTTAGGTGACGTCGGGTTTCTATAGCTGGTTTGTGAAAGCTGGGTGAATATGTGGACCGCTGATTGTGAGTCAAGCCAAGTTATGTACACTGGTGAGCATGCACGTGCTCGCACTGGATTCTAATCAGTACACTGCCGAGTTGACTTGGTGAAAACCGTAGTTGACAAGATCTGAGTGCATGAGATCAGTAATATAGGTTTCCAATGACGGAGGTCTCGCAAACCATAAAAATTCCACTTAGTGCGCTGAGAGCCTTGCGATGGAATGATAGGGGAATACAACTTCTTATCCTGGCAGTCATTGTGAAAGTAATCCCAAGAGAGTGGCTGTAGTTAACCCTGAGAAAGTGAAACAGTATTCTTCTCCAAATTTCGGTAATGTTAGCCCCAGCTATGGCAGTATATTATTAGCCTTATGAGAGTTATTACCACCAACTTCATGGGAATATCGATTCATGGGCTAGGCATTTTAGAGGATGTCTTTTCAGGAGGGTTGAGGTGTATTCTTTTTGTAAGGTTGTGAAAACTTCAGTGAGACATGTCCCATGCAAGTAAGTCTACTTACATATAGCTGATCCACTAGGTTTCGTTGGAAAGTCGAAAAACCTAAAGTCTGATCCGTAACTGGAGTTGAACTGAAAGTCGAAGCAAAAGATCTAAATACGCAGAGATTAACATACTTCTCACTAATGGACTTGAATTTTTCTGCATAGGCATGCATCAACTTTGGTTCACAACCAATTTTCTTATTTTGCTTTCAGTTCATTTAAAGTTACTAACGCGCACTGTACACATCTAGACATAGGAAAGAATATCAAATCTAAACATATTCAAAACTACCTATTAACAGCATACTTTGCAAGCATTTTACAATCCTTTAGGTAATAGGAAAATAGATTTCGTGTAGATAGTCATTTAATACACGTGAATTCGAAACATTTCATTTTTAGCACGTTATTGTGCTATCCATGTTAATTTGTTTGTTGGTTATTTCAGACTGTCAAAAAGGCGTAATTTGTTAGATTACGTTTCGAAAATAATTTACTGTTCATATTCATACCAAAAAAAGGCTCTACATCTTTCACTTCCTACTTTTTTTGTTCTAAGTATGAATAATAGAACTTTCCAAGTATCTGGAATAGATGTTGAATCATTCCTGTTGTATATATTCAATGTTGGTTCGACAAACAAAACTTCATCTCATGATTCCTACATTCACCCTAATAAGTTAGTTTTTAGGATTGCTTCTTTGTTCCATCCTATTTTGTGATTATGGAATAAAGCCACCTTTAATATAAATGTGAATAATGCCTAAGTTTTACTCTTACATGTATTATGTAGTTAAGCAGAAAAATAAACCAAACTAAATCCTCTGATTACATTTCCAATCAGTTGATTATGGCCTCTATCCCCTACTTCTGAACTAAAGTCGTTTGGGCTACTAAAACTATCACTGGAAAAAGAAGTTCAATCAAGTCTATCTTTTATGCTTTTTTGACTGAATAATTTACATATACTAAGTAGTGTTTTACTTAATGGATATATATGAACCGTTGAGAAACAGAAAAATGGACGATGTTACAGAAAACTAGGTAATTCTGAGTACAGTCAGTCAAAACTAACTCAAAGCTCTATCTTTCTTCATAATTTTTCTGTCAGAAAATATAATTTTTAGACTTTAATTCATATTGATTTTTATCAGAAAAAATTAGGATGGCATCCTCAGTTGCAGAGCAATTGAGAATCAGTTGGCAAAGATTAGAAATCCACGTATTCAAGTTCATCTCAGACTGTAATTCTCAATTTGTAAAACCTGTTGACAGCATTTTGAAAAATCCTCTGCTTCATGAAACAGAAATTACTTTGAAATGAAACATCAAACCAATGATATTCAATTTTCAAAGATTTTTGGACAACAATAAAACAGAAAAATGTATCAGTTTTAGATCTACAAGACTTTTTTGAACAGTGAAATCAGTCTTGTCATAAGAAGTTATACTTCCTTCCATATACGCAATCAATAACCTCAGGGTTGGTCAAAAAATTTACGGATGCTCCTGTAACATTTGCTCAAAATGAGATTAATAACCCATTTTAGTCTGTTTATTAGAAATGTCACAGTGGAACAGTATCGTTTGCTGGATAACATTTCTGACATAATTTATTGTCCATATATATGTCATGATATGAATATAGACAATAAATTACGTCCGAAACCTTGTCCAGTAAATGATACTGTTTCACTGTGTGACATTTCTAATAAACAGACTAAAATGGAATTACAATCTACCGTAGTGCCCAAATTTTACTCCTATATTAATGAGAATAATAACCAGTGAAAAATAAACTTGAAGTCTTTTTGATGCCAAGTTCTAAATTCCGGACATTTTTATTAATTTTTCACTTGTTGCTTTAGTCTTCTACTCATGGAAAAGTGTCAAAAGTTGAAGGATATGAAATTCTTTTACACTGAAGGTGTTGAAAAGTAGTGTTGGTTCTGTTAGCGATTTTGATCAAAATCTACTTCGTTGTGGCTACAGAAAAAGTTAGAACGTCTAAACAAAGTTTAGTCAGGCTGAAGGTATGAAAACACAGTCTGTTGATTTAGTCTTCGTAGAAAAGTACAGACTTTCGTAATAATGTCTCCGTGGTCGTTGAAACTGATGGTGAGATACTTTATTTTCCATTTGTCACGTATATTTTTGTTTGATAACTGTTAATGACTACCAATTTGTGCGCCCCCTTCATCGTTTTCCCTTTTGCGAACTCACATCTTAATATAGGACGTTAAGTGTGGAAATCTGAACAGACAGAAAATTATCCGAAGTTTGGTGTTTTTAATTTTTCTTTGTATGTATGAGACATATCACATTGGCATAATTTTGCAGTTGGCTATGATCACTAAAACTGAATGGTGGGCTATTCCTACCAAATTTTGCATTATAAGTTCACTTTACCTGGGTTTATGATAATGAAAGCACCCACCCGACCACAGTGGACTAATTTCGGAGAACTCTATGGATAACTTTATTTTAACTAGCTTGCTTCAATCAACCGAGTTAACAGCTATTCACCTAAACTTAATTGTGAGCAAAACATTTTGACTATTCCTATAAAATCTTTTTAAAAATCATTCAATGTATTTTAATCAAAAGTAGTATGGCGATGTTAACCTGGTATTTGATAATTTAGTTATACTAGACGTGTGCACCATCGATATGGACAGTGAAGCTGTTGCCTACTAAAAATAAACCTAGTGAGAATATAGTCCAAGAAAATTAAAAAATATTTGTCAGCTTGATCGTAAGTTTTAATGTAGGTGTGTACTCTCTATGATTTCTAATTGGTTTTCATATATTTTGCAAATCGAGGACACTGTTAAGTTGATCGATTAAATCTGATACTCTAGCTAACCAAGATTAGTATAGTATATAATTCCTACAAGTGATTGTCACTTTATTTTTACCTTAAATTGTCAAACAAGGTGTATTTATTGAACGGAAAGGAATTAGTGTAGAAAGGTGTTATTTCTAATATTGCTTTCTTTCAGATCAACTAAGAAGAAAAGAAATATTTCAGAAAAAACACAGGAGGAGCAAGTAAAATGTAGGACACTTGATGTTTTAAATCATCCTTGTAGTAGGCAAAGAAGTCTGTGAAACGCGGTGAATAGTCAAAAAGAAGCAAGACCAGCTCCTTCCTTTTATGACTTCATCAAATTTGTCTGTGGTGAGGCCAATTTCACCACATGGACAGTTCACTGATATACATATTTATGTGATACCGCCAAATCTATGGATTAATGATTTAAATACAACATTTTCTCATCTGGTTAAGAACACAGTATCAGCTGGAATAATACGTTCCAATGTCAATGCAAATTTAGTTGAATTTCGTGAGACTATTGAAAAAGAGTTAGGAAAACAATTTTGCCTAGTGATTATGTATTCTGTAAACAAGTTGGACATTCACTTGGTCGTGTAATATCAAAATTTACACAATATTCTTATACTCTTAATGCATTTTTGTAGATTCAGTCAAATCAGGAGAGATTATTTAAAATCAGTGAATTCCTTCCGCCTATGGTAAGTGAAAATTATAGCATGCATATAGACTCTATTATATTAGCATTCATATGTAACACTTCTGAACTGGGTTTTTATGAAATTAACACATGTTGGTGAAATACATTGGAGTATTTTCTACAATTTGCTCAGTACAGCTAGGCCTATAACATGGATCTGCATTTCCATGAATATAAGATTTTCATCAACATAAGCTATTACTAGATTTTCAGGGGAGGTATCTGTGCTGTGAAACTGTTTGGTTAAACAGAATCATACAGGCTATCAAAACTTTTTCCAAGCTAAATTAATAGTAGTATTCAAAGGGTCGTTTAGTAAGTTCTAAAAATGTATCTGACCTTCATTGTAGGTGCAATCGATTGCGAATATTTGAGTGAATAAATCTTGATTACTTCAGAATGACGCTATATCGACTCATTTTTACGAAGTGAACATACCTCGCAGCCCTACTTAAGCGTATAAAATCCAGCGGACATACTTATTTTCTTGACTTTTCGAGTTCGACTGCTGAAGAAGTGTTTCGATAAATTCAGTTTAGTACCAAGCAGAAAAACTTAAGTATATCTCACAACCAGAGTTGTGTAACTTATACTTGCTTGTTGTTTATTCGGTTCTTCTTACCTAACTAGTCCTAATTCATTAGTTTAGTTAACCTTACTAGTCGATTACTATTTTCAGTTCTGTTCATCAGGTAAAATTACAACTGAGTCCAAGTCATTTATATCAAAAATCTAAACCAGTATTCAGCAGTAAAAATGAATTTCAATAAAAAGGACTCTTAGGCATCAAAAGCTTTTGGTTTTATTTATACTTCGATTCTTTTATTTTCAAATAATATCATAGCATATGAAATAAAACAAAGAATAATTCAAAAGGTTCATACTTTTAGTCAAATAAGATGACCCTTTTCTAAAAGTACACATCTGCTGTAATATGTAGCACATTTGAACAGATTTCCAGTTTCCAGATTTCCAATTTTAATATCAGCGTGATTTATGTTGGATACTATTAAAACAAAAACGGGAATCGAAAACTACAGATTGAAGGGAACTTAATATCTAGAATCTGCCATCCGTAAAAAGTTGCAAAATGTTCATCTGATTTTTAATGCATAGGTTCCTTCAGGTAAGCTAATTAGATTCAGTTGGTCTTAGAAAACTAGGTTTCGAAGGTGAGTACTTTTAAGTTAGCAGCTAATGAATTTCTCTTACGTCAAATACAGCTCATGATCACTGTATAGGTAACTCTGATTTGACTGGAGAAATGTACAGACTGGTGTACTGTTTATATTTGCCATCTGTTTACTTCACTAATTCCATTGAAAGTCCCATATAAAGCTAGTTTTAAATAGAAACTCGTAATCTTTATCTTGAGGGTGTCAGTTATGCAGGAAGCCCGAATATGAAATCCACTTAGTTTATGTCTAGATTTGTCAACAGTATTCCTCTAGACTTCACACTCATCTAAATGAATCCTGCAAAGTGATATTGATGTGAAGCAATAAAAATGTTGGGAAGATTAGGATTAAAATTTCTACATAAACTTGACGACACTTTACAAGAAGTAGACGTATTAAAGTAGTGGTCTCTCTTGTCAAGATGTTGGAAACAAGATGACGTTAGTTGGGACATTTGTACAGTATGGATGCTCTTAAATTATATTAAATACAGTAGATGTTCGCTTCGATGAACCACTGTCAATACATTTTGCCAGTAAACTTATGATTGTGTTGAAAACTAGGATTATTCGATTCAGGAGATAACTTTGCTTTTTCGATAAATAACGATTTTTCATCTTCATTTCAGATACTTGTGACAAACCATGTGCTTTTTCAGTAGATCGTTTACCTATGTTCATACCATTTAGCGTTACATATGCGGTGAATATATATTAAACGCTGCAGTCAGCTAAACACATCATTTCATATATCTAAAGAACGGCTTTTAAAGTTAGGGAATTGTTTCTATTCAAATCTTTCCCACCGAATCATTAATTAGTTAGTACAAGAATAGTACTGTCATGAACCTAGGACTTCATTAATCCACCTAAAGTTCTAAGTGCACTAGTTTTACAAGTGCCTAAGAATGAAGTCGCAAAGCTGCATACTTTCAACTTACTGATGTAAACTGTGAATAGTAAGTTATTTACAAACCATATTATGCACATACACACATCACTGCAGAGTCCACGAGACTGCTTTTGAACATAACCCACAGAAGATTACAAATTTGAATCCCTACCACAAAGGTGGAAAGACCGTTTACGACTGAAAAATGTTAAAAATTGCCATCGTACAAATTATAACAATACATGTAAGTGAATAATATTACTTTCATTTAGATTCTTACTCCAGTATATGTAGCTCTCTCTCTCTCTCTTCAGATATATATAAAATAAGGTGACCGTAGTGACCTGAGTCAGTTACGGATGTTCTAAAATTCACATAAAATTTTCGGTCAACGGTTTTGGTGAAAGGAATTATACTACAAAACAACGAAATACTGCGACGGTTAAAGTAGACCAATAAATTAAAAAAGTTGAGCTGGTACAGTGATATGAAGTAAAGAAGTGCATAACATAAGTCTTAACAAATGCTGCCATTATATGAAAAAGTTAAAGGAAAAAAAGGGGATGAAAGTGAAATAGTAGAGAATGTTTGTATCTTAAATGGGTGGTATTGGTTGGGTTGTGTTCTCTGAGCTGGGGTAAGAGTGTTTAATAGTGTAGCCGGTTATCAGGTTACTCCTGGCCAAAGGAAAGAGAACCGCCATACAAAAGTCTTTTGATCTATTAGGTTAAGATTAGGTTAGCCCAGTCCCCATGAATCGGTTTAAATACTACTTAGAATGTTCAGAGATATATATTGAATAATATTAAAGGTAGTGATTTTGTCTACTATGAAATCACTACCGGTTAACAGCCATGAGACTAAGCTTCTTAAAAAGAAGCCTTTTACTGTCCATGAAAGTAAATGATAAGCAACACATCTGCTAAGATGTCCACTAGTCTATCCTATATGACTTTCTATATATTAGAATCTGAAAATGTAAATACACCGAAATGTGAAAACTAGGTCAGTTATCAGTTGTCGAAGCAGCAGCAACCAGTCGGCTGGAAAATGAAACACAGAGTTTAACAGAGCGGAAGCTACCCATGCATTCATCCTTCTTCTACATCCACATGCCTTTTTATAATACTGTCGGGGTAGCTCACTTACATCATTGTGTTATTTACATACTCTGAATTCTCATCAATCACTGGGGCGTATTTTCATATTCTACTTGCAAGGTTTTTGACAAGATTTATTTCGTACTTAATTGATAATTAGCTACAAAATGGTATTTATTGACCTAAAGGAGTGATATTTCTTTATACACTATTGAGTTAATCTTCCCTTTTGTATAACAAAAGAAGCAGGAGGGAAATTATCATTGATTTGCTTGGAACAAAGTCGCATAACTCCTGTTCTCTTGAACGAAGCGTGATATCTTTGAGTTGTTTAAATCTCTATCGTGAATTTGAACAAACTTGGACTGAATTCGCTCAAATGTTTAGCACTGGACAGGATTCGTTTGTGTGGTTAAGTGATAACGTTTGTAATTTCCAAAAGTGATTTGTCAAATTTTACTTAATTTTACCAGACATTTTACTGTTTATCCGTCATTTCTAAACTTATAGTAATCTTCAAGGAAATATACCACTCATGGGCTCATTTCCATGTATTAATGAATAGAAAACGTCTAGTGGCATTTCAAACCACATACTAAGGTCCTAGAACCTTTCGATTGACAAGTGACAAAGAAATGACTCCATAATTCATTTGTTTATTTCATATACAGCGCACAGTGATACAGTATTATTTACTTGATGACGTTTCGAGCATAAATTATTGCTCATAATCATATCAATGTAAGCACACTCCTTTCGACATCTAGTTTTTGTAGTCCTTTCAGCTCATATTATTTGTTTTTATTGGTAGTAAAGTTTTCGAAATCTCTGGTATGGGTGCTGCGTCACTCCTGTTATATATGTTCGGTGCAGATTCGATTAACAAAGATTCCGTAATCAATCTCTCTCTCCACCTAATCATATTGGACTTAAGTGTTGTATATTTATTTTATTTGTCCCATGGGTTCCTAGTGGAGCATAGGACTTCAGTAGCACGTCTCCATTCCACTCTCTTCTCTGTAATTTTTTGAACCTGGCTCCACAGCAGCCCACAAGCTGTCATTTCTTCCTCACAAGATCTCCTCCATGTCACCCTCACCTCGGATGCCCAACTCGTCGCTTCCCATGGGGTTCCACTCGACGACCTGGACTGACGCGTGATGTCCCCAGTCGGCCTTCTCAGTGTATGCCCAATCCACCTCCACTTCCTTCCAGTGCATATTTGTTGGGCAATAGGTTCTTGGTTGGTTCGTCACCAACCAGAGTTCCTTGTTGCTTATTCCTTCTGGCATCCATCTGATCTTCAGTACTGAGCCAGTGGAGGCAGTTGTTGATGAATGTCTGTAGTTTGTTGGAAATGCCTTTCCTAACGCGCCAAGTCTCTCACCATACAGGAGCACTGACTTGACTGACGTTGGTGTTGAAAATCCGGGTCTTGTTCCACATGCTGAGTGAAATGCAGAAGATCTCCACACTGTTTCAGGCTAATGAATGCCTGTCTTGCTTTTCCGATTCTGACTTTGACATCCTTGTCTGTGCCACTTGTAGTTGAAACAGTGCTGCCTAGATAGGTGAAGGAGGTTACTTCCTTTAAGTTTCTCCTGTTGATGGTGATTGGAGCTTGTTGTTGTTAGTGGTGGTGTTGGTGTTGGTTGAGTATCTTCATCACCTCTATCTTCTCTACGATGATTTGAAGTCCGTCTCCCTCCGCTGCCCTGCCTCTTCTGCCAACTTGTTAGTTTTCGCCTGCAGATCTTCAGGTTTGTGTGACACTAGACATAAGTCACCAGCGAAATCGAAATCTTCTAGGTTCTTTTCGCAGTCCAGCCAGCATATCCTCCTCTTTTCACAGCTCCTCACTGTTTGCTGCATGATCCAGTCAAGTCGACTACAATCAAGAATATCATGGGTGATGGAAGACAGCATTGTCTTAGTCCTGTATTCACTTCAAAGGTATCACTGAGCTTTCCATTGTGAATCAATTAGCATGTGGCATCATCATATAGCTGTTGAATGAGGTCGATGAAGGTTTGCGGTATTCCATAGTGTTGAAGCAGTTTCCAACTTCCTTGTCGTTCGACGCTGTAAAAGGCCTTTCCAAAGTTGATGAAGCTGAGTTTGAGTTATGTTGACTGCCATTCTATACTCTGTTCTATGATGATGCGAAGCGTTGCAACTTGGACTTAAGTACAGGGCCTAATCCCACCCTATTGTGTGGTTGTGTGTTAATGCATGCATAGCAATAGCTGAGGTTTTTTCTAGGTTGTTGATTGTATTCGGATCTATCATTCTATATTTAGATAAATTCCTTTGTTCGGCTATTCTGACTGACCCTGATCGGCTAGTTTTACCTATGTACCTGACCTCACAGTCATTATATGGAATTTTATAGATTAGATTATTTTGCTGAATTGGTTCTATCGGATCCTTAAGCCGACAAAGCCTATCTCTGAGTGAGCTCGTAGGTGTAAATGTCACCATATCACGTAAAGTTTCTGATATTTCTTCTTTATATGGTAGCACAGTTGAGGTTTTGAACTTATTTCTACTCATGTTATTGCCATTATTTGTATTTTTACAACTATCATTATTTTATTTCTTATGTTTTCCTACGAATTTCTTAATAATCTGTAGAGGATAATTATTAGCGCTTCTTTTATGTTTCAGTTTCCTATTTAAGTCCATAAAATGGTTGGTGAATTTTTTAGACATCTAACCAAACTCGCCTTAGCTGAGATGACCCGAAGTCTAGATACCTGTTAGAATGTGTTGAGTTTCTGTAGACTGTCTTATTGTTTCTGTTCTACAGTCCAATAGAAGTAATTCCTCCTGTTCCTTTTTACCTCGTAAATGAACTAGAGAGACGGAGAGATTGATTACTGAATCTTTGTTAATCGAATCTACACCCAACATATGTAATAGGAATGACGCAACACGCATACCAGAGATATAGAAAACATTACTACTAAGAAAAAAAGAATATCAGGTGACCGAACTATGTAAGTCAGATATCGAAGTGAGTGCGAGTACAGTGATATGATTATGAGCAATAATTTATGCTCAAAATGTCATCAAGAAAATAATACTATATCCATGTGGACTATATATCCAATGAACATATCAAATATGGAATTGTATTTTACCACAGTGCTCAAGTTTTATACTTGTATGACAAAGAATCAGTTTTTTTTCACTTTCACTAAGAATTATTGTTTTACGTTTTAAATAAATAAACGAGGAATATATGTTGTATTAGTGACGGTAAACTTCTTTTGATATATGCACTGGAACCAGTCATTTAGGTTATCAGTGCCTTTTACCAACAACAAAAACATCAGGATTAAAAGGTATTTGTTTATACACATTTCAAGTAAATATAAATCAGGTCATTGTAAATTTTCATTTTTCTTTCGGATTAATTTTCACTCCATTTAACTGTGAGTTCAAATGGTTTCCAACGTTTTAGAACACTCATACTGAGAGAAGCGATATCCACTTCACAGTAGGTGGGCAACACTAGTTGAGTTTATGATAAATTATTATTTTCAAAAAATCTGTTAACATTTTATTTTGTTTTTTAAATAGTCCGAACTACCAGAAATTTATGTTATTGATCGTCAAGCAGTTGATGAAAATCAAACAAATAACAATGAATCTTCGCAAATCCCCTTATTCCAACAGCAGAAAATGCAAAATCAAGTAAATATTAGGCCGGTTACACCAATAGGAAATACGAGGCCTCCATCGGCGTCATTTAAAGCGGATGGTTCACAGAAGAGTAAGTTTTACTAGAGAAAATCTTGTGTTTATGTGAAAACTTGTTCAAACTTCGGTGCTTAAAATAGAATAATTCAGCTAGTTACGAATATTTGTAATCAGGATGTGACTTCTTGCATGTGAGGTAGCTTTGTTAACTAACCACATATACTTTCATTTTAAGTGGTGATCAAATGAGTTTTCGCCATCATGCTAAAGCTTGGTACTTCAGTTCCGCTTCTTTGATCTGGGGTATTTCAGGACAATTAGTGGAAGTCCTACAAAAAGAATTTAGTTATGAAAGAACATGTGAATTGAGAGACTATTTAAAATAGGTCTTGTCAACCTCAATCCTTGGACAGAAAGTTTTGATGAATCAATATGGATGCCTGTGATGAGTATAACCAGTGAGTGTACATGAGCCCCCACCACAGAGGAGATCAGTTTTGCTTGACAACGCAATTATTAGTCGTCCGTAGAAATATATAGCGATTAGCTAGTGGTACTTAAATATAAAAGAAAATTTCAAATTTCTGGATTGATTTTGGAAGGAATTTCAAAAACAACATCTCAATTTCTGGCTTCTCTGCTCTCAGAGGCTTAATGCGTACTCCTATATAATATCCCTATAACCAATGTAGCTCAAATTTTAAAGTTTCACTGAGGATTCAATTAAGTAAGCACCTTGGAAAACTTGAAAACAGCCTAACTTTTTAATAGCAATCGAACAGAATAAAAGAAGTACTAAATGACTATTATAGTGGAACCATTAAACATTTTATAACTGAGATATCTCATTTTTCTGTTCAAATAAGCTTCATGATGACCGACTCCAGTGATTAATAAACAATATACTACTTATAACGACTAGGACAAGAGCAAAAGTGGATAGTCTGAACCACAGATTATGACTTATTTCATCATATAAGCTGATTTCGGTCCAAAATATCGACTCATGCACCTAAGAGGTTTATAATTTACAGCTTATTTTCAAGAGATGCAGTGTTCCTTGAGATATGCCCCATTTTCGATTATCGCTTGCTTATAAATACTTTGTGTTAACAATGATTATGTAAAGAAAATAAGAAGAACTATGCGGTGTTTGCTTGTGAATATATTTACGAAAAACAATATTTTCACTCTAAAGCCATCATCTTGTCTGCTTAGTCAGTTTTCGATGCCACAAAAACCAAATGTATTATTTAATCAGGATACTGATAATAAAGATCAACAGCTGGTTCTTAGATTAAAGATCTGGAAACGAAACTTAATTGAAATGAAACTACGTGTAATCATGAGAAGCCTTTGGTCCTGTGGGAGGATTATACAACTAGATGAACGTGGTAGACTCTATAAACTAAAATCACCACCAGATGCTGATTCATGATGTTCTCAGCAGTATTATTGAAACCAAGATTTCGAATTGTTAGCAACCATTAAGGTCACTTAGCAGAATTTGATATTCAAAAGTAAGTCATATAAACTCTCCACATCTTAATGACGCGTTGAGATCATCATCAGTGCATTTAGTTGGATTTACCCGGGAATAATGAAATATTTAAACAAATTTAACCGTGTTTAAGTACAAGTTATGGTTACATACAATTACTAACTGAAGTATTTGGTTAAGAGCTGATCATTCTATTGATTAGTGTGTATCTTAATGTTATATAAATGTCTCCTAGATTGGTGAGCCTCTTAAAACAAACACTGAAGTGACAGGTGTTCAGACAGTGAAATCTTTTCTTTTGCATAATTTAGATAAGGTTTTTAGTGTAGTAAGCATGTTTAAGGCTACTTGTAATTAGAAGTGATGGGCTAAAGTAACGGAACTTTAGTAAAATTACAAATATGTGGAGAGATACAGTTGCTACAATAATTCTTAATTGCACATGAAAAACAAAATACCTTAGAAAAGTAAACTGTTGAAATTTGAAGTAAAATTTATAGTAATAATCATGATTACGAACAGAAATATTTCTTAATGACTGAGATACTTTGTTTGAACTTAGTTCAGGAGATAAAAACCGGCGTAAGTTACAACGTAAGTTTTTGGAGAAAAATTTGTTCAATAGGAAGTTCTTGGGACTATCGCGATAACAGTTAACTAGTTGGTGGTGGTTTGGTGTTCTCAGAGCTTTGACATTTTGTCGTGTGTTAATTATTGGTACACACTTCCATCGTTTAGTAATTCCTGTGTCTTTTTGACATAGTCCATTTTGTTCGTGATGACGGTTTTTCTACCTTTATCCAGAGGTAATGTTATAATTGTCTCGTCAGTCAATAGTGATTTCAGTGTTTAGTAGGTGTTGATTTACTTTGATTTTCACTACAGGCACAATGACTGACATAAACCCCGTCATTGCTCGACATTTAATCTTGAAGCTCTCAATATATACTCCGAAGAAGTCCTGAAATCAAATTGTTTGCTTTTCCATTGTTGTTGTTCAGTCCCTTCTGATGTAAATCGTATTCTATCGTAGATAGTGAGCTATCTGAAAGACTCACTTTCCATTCATCTTTTGGTTCCTTCTCTGTTGGTTCTGATAGTTTGAGTAGTTGGTTTACCACTCAAATTCTGCTTCCTGTTGTCACCTTTAATCTTAGTTGTTATACTGATAGCTGCTGTCAATTTGCTCATCATATATATCTGTTACGATAACTGGTTCTAATATTTGTTGTATTCAGCTAGTCTGCTGCATGCATCTGATGTCATAAGTCGCTTCGTTTTCCTGCCACTTTGCTGTACAATCTCCCACCCAGTAGGAAAGTTGATGTACGGTCCCCACCTAACATCTTATGACCAGATGTTCCGCCATGAACATTCATTTAAGAAGAAAAGCTGCTCTCGAATGGAAGCTATCCGAAGTTCTCCCACTTCGTCCTCGTAATCTTGAGCTACAAATTTTTTCTATCCTTTCAATTAGCTGGTCCCAGGAGTCAATAAATTTTAACGAATTTGTTATTCCAAATAATTTCATACTACTTACAGTAGTTAACTTTCGTATCCCAAACATATTTCGTGGTTCACACGTTGGCATTTATTACTGATAATGTGATGAAATATTTCGGTTTACTCACATTTTCACAATTCCGTTTGTTTTCAAAATACAAACTGAAGATTTTCCCAGCTACCAATCAAATCCTCCACCAACAATGGATTCTACACCGCAAGGACAAAGTACATCACCTGTTAGTGAATTGAACATGATGACAAGTATTCAGCATCAACAACAGCAAAGCCTCAGCAGACCAGGGTAAGATTTCCAGTTTAACCCTTTCAGTTCCGGCACTTATTTCACTTTTAGTGGTATTTTAGGGGAATTAACTCTGGCAGTTTCGATTCTTTCATGGAAATTCTTATTTTCCTTGGAGATATGAGATCGAATATAGACATTTATAGATGAATATTGTAAGATGGTATATTTTTATTTGTGTATAGATAACTACAAGCATTTAATAAACATAGAGAGGGCGTAGATAAAGTAAATAATTAATTTTAGACTGGCTGCTTTGATAGTTTTCACCAAAGAGTATGGTTTGAAGCCTCTCTTTGAAACTGACAACATTATACCTCTGAATTTTCATCCATTCAAGAATGCGGACGTCTCTATACTTTTATCTGGATGAAAATTGGACTGTAACATAAACTTGTTCACTTGTAATTTGTAGAATTTTAGTAATGCACAATGATAAGTGCAGTTGGAGTATGAATTTTAGGTGATCTAAAGGTAACTTACTGACTCAAATCCTATATGCTGTTCACGGAAATTAGCCTATTTGATTTTACCCCTTGAGTTGGTTAATGAACTGAATTGCTAGGGAACTCCAGATTAATATGAAACAAATATTCCATGATCCTTTGGTATGAATTCTTCTTTACCAATACTGTGTCATGGACACTATCTTCAAATTGGTGAAATCTCTGAGACCTCTGGACGGATCTGAATTTGATTTTATTTTCAGTATCGGTGGTGAAAAAGTTAAATAGAATGCAAAATGAGATAATTAAAAAAAATATTATGTGTACGTAAATAAGATTTTTATCTGTCGTAACCAATTGAGATTTTTAAAAGGATTTGGAATGAAGTTCCCTTATTTTTCAACTATAGTTAATATTTCATATATGTAGTTAATGGAAAACAGACTTTACTGGGAAAGAACCCAGATTCTCCAGTCAAATTGAAAACCCTTTAGAAATGTTGACTGACTTTGTTGACACTAAATATGTACTGCTGCATTACATGGTAATCTTGTAGTGTAAGAAATAGCTGCACAAAAAAATGGGTATTAAGCTTTTTTAGGACATCTTAGTCATTTTGTAAATGTGAACATTCAAAGTTCCTTCTTTTTAAAATCAATAGGCAATAAAAATAAATGAATACTGAAGTACAGGCCTGTCATCGAAGTGACGTACACCATACCACTGTTTCTTAAAATGTCATCGTCTACTCTATAGTCCATTCTTCATATCATGAAGATATTTTTTATCCCCAGATTTTCGTATAACAATTCTTCTCCTTTCCGACGATATTATTACGGTTTATTGCGGTATTAAGTTGAATTATCTCCTAAGTTCATGGTTGTAATTAACACATTTTATAGATTCTGAGAAAAAAATGTAGGAATTACATTAAAAGTTCCTATACAGACAGTTAGAAAAAGGGCTGACTGAGCCAAGACATATATTCCTTTGCAATTAAGTCTTCGTCTTTGGCTTTACATTAGAATATGGGTTTCCATTTTAAATAAAAATACCAATCAAGCGGTGGGGGGGGGGTTCATTAAAAGTAATTATAGACTTTTTCCATCTATTACCGCTCAGTTCCAGGTTTACCAGGCAAAGACAAACTGTCTAATTCTGGCACTTTCATATATATATTTATGAAGTTAGTTACATTGGGCCTACTATGAGGTATGTCTATCGTTTAATTTCTGACCACTACCTATCACGGCTGAGTAAGGGATAGATTAGAACAATAAGAGCTGCATACTTGCACACTTAGTTGACACTGGACATCAAGTGGATAATAGCAAACATTTAAAATATTCATCGTACGCCAACTAATTTCCTACAGAGACTACGCATTCGTATACTTCACATAGAAGAGACGGTTTCATTCAACTTTTACAAAGCTAAAAAAATTTGTGTAACCGTTTGGATCGGTGTAGATATCAACGCGATTTAAATTCTAGTTTTACTTTGTAGTCAACTTCGCCTCTTGTTCTATGAATATTGATTTATTTTCCTTTACTTATGCAATTACTTATTCATAGTACAAGGCATATTTTACTCGTGTTATCCCGGCGAAGTATATTAGAAAAAGTAGCAAAATTTATTATTTATGACTAGCCACTCAAGAAAAAAACCTTCCTCTTACTTTACCACTCACTATTCAACTGTCCAAGGAACAACCTATCTCACATTATTATAATTACTTTTTTACCCAGTATAATTATTCTGTTGGTTATTTGCATCTTGATTTCTCAAAATTATCATCATGACTTACTTAAAGTCTATAATTACTGTTAATCAGTCCCAATTATTTGATTGGTATTTTTATATGAATTATCAACTTATGTATCAGTGTAGAGTCAAAGACAAAGACCTAATTTCAAAGGAATATATAAGTCAGTTAGACAGAAATGTAAGTCTCCACCCGGAATGGCTCTACCAGCAGCGTGATCGTTCTTATCAACCCTTTTTATAGTATTAGGATAAGTAGGATGTTAAATTATGTCACTACTCACCTCAAAATATATGTTGGTCTCAATTTTTCTGTTCATCTTGAACATGTTCAGAATTAGCAAGGACTTCTAGTTATTAGCTACGTTATGACTTATTTATTCAGTTATTTCCGTAAACATGAACCGTGAAGGTATTTTCCCTGTTCAAGTACTACATTATTCACAGCATCTAAACCAAACCAGACTTCAGTTCATTAGCGCTGACACAGTAAGATAAAAGTACCACTACGAAAATGTATGCATATATACGACTAGTGGAGCAGTAAGATATGATAATATGTGAAACATTTATCTCTTTTTATGGTAGATTAAAATTACGTTCATAGATAACGTGAAACAGTGAGATCAGTTTCTGTTGCTGAACACTGCATTAGCCTCATCAACTAGGTAAGAAAATCTTAATGTCGACAGTCATCAGTGGAATTAGAAATTCTAAATGCTTGATTTGTTTTACTGTAGTTTGGTGATAGTGACTGGGATGTTTGTTGCATGCAGTCCCGGTATGTGTTAGCAGTGAAGATCATTTTAAGTCCCATATCAAATACTGACACTCAGCTGAACATGTCCAAGCTACCAGCATTTTCATTTGAATATAATAAATACTTTTACTGTAATTTCACTAGTTTAATAAAACAAGTTTCCAAAATAAGTCATAGTCAAACAGAAGACTACAGAAGATATATCTTTCGCTTGGAAAAATATTTTGACCACAGGGTAACTTATGTATTGAAACATGGAAATAAGTAAGTACTAAAGAAAAGAAGCTGTTGTAGTCAAGCGTCAAAAAAATTAAAAACCTACTTTATTTCTTCCGCAGTAAATAGCTTTTACTCCATTGTAATGATAGGCTGTATGTAGGGGAAGATGAGACAGAGACTCTCAGTAACCTTTTAAAAGTTATAAAATTTTTAATTGATATAAAGAAAGGAAATAATTTATGTATCAGCTCGTTATGGTTGTGAATAACATAGCTACCTGCAAATACGGAAATCATATATTTTCGTACGACAGACATATTGTTCATTAAATAATACTGTTTAATTATGTGACGCGTCTTGTAAACAAACGTGAATAGTAGCATTCACCGATGGTTTCACATTTAAGCTGTACGTTTTACTCAGTTATAGATAAAGTGTCTAAGTTTTATTAGCAGTATATTAAATCGTGTCAACAATCTGAATAATAAATATGGTGGAATCGCTTCATAATAATTCTGATAACCGATTCCAAGCATCCATTTTGTGACTATAAAAATTTATTGCCAACAAAACATAACGATTATGAAGGTTGAGTTATCTACGTAAACTGTTTATAAACGCTATATATTATATATATATATATATATATATATATATATATACTTCGTTTGAGAAGTAATAATATATTTGGTAATAACTACAGGAGTGAACTCTGCACAATTTTTAAGAAAACAAAAATATTCAGCTCGTCTCTTTATTTTCTCTTCAAGTCTTAGTATATTTAAATGTCAGAAGTTTATAATTGGTTGTCGAAACAAAATACAGAGGACTAGGATGATTCATGCGTTTCCAAGGTAGCCACGTGAGTATTTTACAAAGGTAGCATAAAAGGTTTGTCCACAGGTTTTGAAATTTGAGTCCTGCCAATCAAGTTTTGTTCGAGATAAAGAATACGAGAATGAACACACATCTGTAAACAAGTGTAGGCATAGTGTTACCGAAATCAAATCTAAATATATAATGTCACTTCAAAGGAAGTCTGAATAATTAGTCTATTTTTCTAGTACTTGTGATACTTACTAATCTATGGGTCAACTTACAAAGATGGTTGAAAACGCTTGACACAAAAGCGCACCCTTAGTTTATTAGTGAACATGTATCGAAAAGATACCTATGCAAGATTTAGGTGGCTCGAACTGGTCCTTTTTAGGATTCATTAGTAATCGCTATTTCTGGGTTACTAAACAACATATCTGTTTATTTGGAAAACAAAATTAATTTTATAAATTGGTAGATAATCGTAAAAACTACCACATTCTGTTTGAAGATGCTCAAAAATACATACATCGTTGCCTTCTATCTGCATGATTTAACAACATATCAATCTTCTTTCCTTGTCTAAATTTCTAAGGTCTGTCGTGTTAGTTAGTTTCGTGCTAGTTGGCACACATCAGTGAGGCGTATCTGCAAGATCGAGGGAATTGGTGGTTTCTATGTGATTCAGACCGGTATCAACCTGTCTCGCAGTCGGAGATGCCACCACTGAGTTATTCAGGTAGTGATTCACCTCCCGCACGACTGGGTTACATACGCTGATTGGTCAATAAAGAATAACGGAGTTGGGAAACTCTGCATCACGGTGAACTATGATGCGTGTTAGTCGGTTGAAAGCAGTCGACAAGAAGCCCTAGACCTAAGTTTTGCATGATGGTGGCCACACTGAAAAATAGTTAGCAGATTTCGATCGGCGCTTAAAATTAGACAACATGAAATTGGTCACTGTCCAGTGAAAAAAGCAGATCTATTAATTCATATTTATTGGTACTGGTATTTTTCTGAGTTTCAATGGGAACATCACTCACTGGGGTGCAGATTCATCCAGCTGACGACTACCAAATGATATGAAACGCGCATTCTCAGTTTTACTTCAAGTCACCAAGACGAATATAACATCATGAATATCCGGCAGTACCAAGGCATACTCATATGAACCCATCTGCCAACAGAGGTCAAGCGATTCGGCCCTGTATAGCGACGGGAAAGTAAAAGTGTCAAGCAGCAAAATGTGATACCCGTTGCGCGGGAGGTACTTTTCATGCCCCAGTAGCCTAGTGGGTAACATTTTGTGTTTGAAATTATGGGTACTGGATTCGAGTTTCAGTGCGAACAACATCACTTCCTGAAGTGCAGGCGTAAAACTGAATTGTTTAAATATAATCGAATAAGGTGAATAAGCCTAGTGCTCATTGGTGACTAGCTTCGAAAGGTGATTCCTGAAGTTCTAATGAAAAGCCGTGACCAGTGCGGTAAACCAAGTCGGATATGAAGAGAGATACTCAACAGTGGCTTTGGATGGTGGTCGCACAATATGAATTCCAACCCAGTGGCTCAATAGTAACATGCTGGTCATGGGTCCGAACTCTGGCCCAGTCTTAAGTGCTGGCTGCAGAAGACGCAGCAGCTCCCACGTCTGCAATGTTTCCCCAACTGATGCCAGTCCATGATGAATACTAAGCTGAAATCATTAAATAAGTAGACCAGGCCGCGTTTTAATACGCTTCTACTGACGTTTTATCTTCATCTACCTTCACTTAATTCGTACTTCTTAATTAGTTTTAGCAGTAGTATTACAGGTTTACGGAAAATATTATGATGAACAGAGCATTTCAAGTTTGTTGGGGCAAATGCTTGTTGCTGAGATAAACACTGGATAATAGTTAAAATAAAATTTATCACCTAGTTTTGTAACTAAGAAACACAAAATCAACATGATTAATGTTCTTTTTGTTCTTTAAACAGCTCTCACTATGAACAAAGATCATCTGTGACTCCCAGTGTTAGTTTACCAGTTATCTCATCTCAAGGTATGTTGACAACAGACCCATCTTCTGCAAGAATTTCACAAGAATTAGTCCCAATGCACAATGAACGAAATGTAATTTCCCCAGCACCTATCATGCATACTGGAGATGCCGGATTAGATACAATTTCAGCGGCAATCGGTCATCAAAAAGACATTTTACAACGTTTAGAGTTTGAACAACAAAAACGTATCTTACAAATGCAGGCTGAAGCTGAAGAACGGCGTCGTCGTGAAGCTGAACAGTATGCAAAAGAGTTGGCTAAAAATGCTAACCACGCAAAGTAAGTTTTTATAGTTTGTACTACTACTGCTTTGATTCAAACTTCCGAAGTGAAGAATATGTATTTAAGGAATGAAATTTACTTTTGAGATCAACAGCATGTGTAAAAGGCTATCTTATAAAATACGTCGGCCCATCTGGTGACAGTCGTTTTATGTAACAAAATTAGTGAAATCAATCCTGCAATAAGCAAGTACTTATCTGCTATAGTGTGCAGATAACCGCACTAACAATGTATGCTCCAAGTGAGAGAAACAAGATGACAGGTACAAAGAGATGGATGTTGATTATCAACAAGTCGGCCAGTAGTCGTTGAATATAGTTCACCTTGCATTAAAACCGTCATTTGCAAAATATGTTTCATTTCCTCTTCTACTTCTTTCTTGATTTCATCTTCATATGCCTGCCTTGTCTCTTACGTTTCTCTCGGTGGAATCCTTACCCGTTGCTGGTAATTCCCTGTGATTTCCGCCACCCTCTCAACATGTATTACTTATATCTATTCTTATCAGCAACGCGCACTACACAAGTGCATGTTATGGATGTGACTTTTTTCGAGCTGATAGGAAAAGATGTTGCATTTGGCACAGCTTCTCTTAAAATGCAACACTGTTGCAAAAAGGGATATTTATTGTTGCTGCCTGAATTGTATGGGGAATCAAATAGATATTTGGCAAAATATTGAAGGTAGTGAACGTCGTCACTACGTTTACTATGTGAAATACTATTTTCGATCATCCTACAAGACGAAATTGCATAAGTCTCAACGGAGAAACAGACTGTTATTTTGTTATTGTAGGAGATAATGATGAAACAGAACAAACAGGATTGATGAAAAGTATGCTAGATAGATAACTGTTACGACTTATGCTTTTTGTTTACCCGTCCATTGGATCAGTTGTCAGTCAATGCGCTACCACTGTTCTGTGTTCAGCTTTAATTGTAATTGAATATTATTATCAGTAGATGAGAAATGGCCACCCTATGACCTATCACTAATGAACAGAATAATTACATGGTTTGTTAATCATTTCACACTACTCTTCATCAATAGGATTTTAAAACAGAAATTTCTGGCTTCCCCTAATGGCATCAACAGCAATTAAATGGCCTTTATATTTGTAAAGCCTTTTAGATCCAATCCACCGATACTTAGGGATAGTTTATTGTGCTATTTACCAAAAAATCAGGAGTGGTCTACAGTTGCCGTATAGTCTTAAACATAATGAATCAGTTTAGTATGTCTGTGTAAAAGCTTGACACAACAAGTAAACTACAAGATTTTAGGTTTCCAGAAAACTCAAGTATTCTCTTTTATATGATTTAAATAGACGTATGGAAGAGCTAGAGAAAGAGTTAAGAAGGTGGACAGAAGAAGCGAAACAAACAAGAGAACGCCTAGATCAGCTAAAAGAAGCTTGGGATACTGCTCTTAAGTCTAAACAGGATGAAATCAGTACCCTGAAACAAGGTTTAGAAATGATGAAACAAAGCAGAGATGCATTAGACGGTAAACCTACGGCTAGAGAAATTGCTGCACAAACGGAAATACGTCAGCTCCAAATCCAGTTGACTGAAATGAAGGAAAAATACAAACAAGTAAGAGAAGAATTAGAAGAAAGAAGGAGAGCTGCGGATGCTAGAATGGACGCCGTGGGAGATGAGTTGAAGGATTTAAGACGAAAAATGTCAGATGTTCATGCTACTCTACGGGAACCAAAGCCTGTAAAAATTACAGTTAGTTCGCAGCCCAAATCCGTATGTGATGCTGGGACAGAAGCAACAGAGTAAGTAAATCTTAAATTTACTTGTGTTGAATTAAAGGCAGTTAAACACTTCATTTACACGTATATTATTTGTAAATGACTGATAAATAAATCCTTCATCAGGCAGTATAGTAAACCTATGTACATATACACTGCCCACGAACTTCAGCACTAGGATACTAAGCGTTGGTTAGCAGAGCAAGTGGTAAACATGACTTATTATGAAGTTAAAGAATAATAAAAATCATTTTACTTTGATTAAAAAGGTTAAAAAAGATAATTTTCAAACTTTCAGTTACAGTTTCTCTTGAAGGTGGTCAAATCAACCCATTGTTCGGTTTGCATTTATAATGGTATGTTTTAGGAAACGTGACAAACACATTAAATCATGTAGGCTACAGCTGTTTTGCTTTTTACTGCTTTATTATGAGTTCTAGGTTTTTACTTAAAAATACTGATAAATGGTGCTTTAGGTCATTAAAACTTGCTACAGATAATTGCACTGCATTTAAAACGAACAAATATTTATCTATTAGTATGATCAACTGAAAACCCTAAATGAACAGGAAAATTTGCCTAGACATGTGACATTTATACAAGATATTGTTTTCTTTGTGAATGATAATCTTTTTCAACATCCAGAAGGCTGAGAGAACCGTTACTATTGTTCTTTGTTTTGTTGAATATGAGAACACTTCATTGTGGATCGATTATTTTACTCCACAAGTATCCAGATATGAGATGGTTATTTTAGTATTTTGATCACTCACTATCTACTAGGATTTCTTTCCTAGTTTATAGTACACTATATTTTCAGCCTACATCTGCGTTTAATTAGATCCATTCCCAGGATGATCTCAGAACTTACCAGTTTTCAAAATAACTATGTTCAGGCAATATTGCAGTCAATTTCAATGTCTTTTATGTACAGTTATATGATGTGCATTGAAAACACTGAAAAAAGGATTATTTCGAAACATAATCAAGCATGAATCATGCAATGTTTTCTTCAGTACCTATGAATATAGAGTAGGGATTTTTAAACTAACTACATTTCGTATCGGTTTGGATTTAAAAGGTTTATTGTCGTTGAACATGAATAAGAAGTAGTGCGTTATTCAGACAGTTTTCCACATCTGACGCATCGTCTACATCAATAGGTGGTCTGATGACTCTGTCACCCATATCGGGTGGGGATTGAAGGTGAAATGCATATTTGGACCACGGTGGGATTCGAACCAGAGACCACCGGATTTTCAGCCCGGTGCTCTATCAATGAGCTTTGAGGCCCAACCGCTGACCAGATTTTAATTTCACTTCAATCACCATGGGTTTCTCCTCACTACCATGTGGATGTGTGACGCGTTACTACCGCCTGATCGTACTTACACTAGCTGCCTAGTCAGGACTTCTCATCTCAATCCCAATCTAATTGAGTTAGAGAGGGAGAGTATCATATTGATTATCATTTTGACTATCTGAGAAGGCTGTGGTTTGGCAGACTATTATGGATAATGGGTGATTATTAAAAGTGAAGTGAATCTTTTACGGTCGTTTGCTTGAAATCAACTGCGGCTTACTAGAATTTAGTTGCTTCCACCAATAATCTTGTACTGAAAGGCAATCAATTAGTTAGTTTACAAGTTTACAACTATCACGGCTTATCTAGTGCATATTTTGCTGTGTAAACTCTAAGCTTACTTCATGTGTCTCATATACTAGTATTTCTTCAGGTACCAGATTCTCAACAGATATTATGAGGAGTACTTATTAGTTTTTATCAAGCATTAAGCGTTAACGTATGCTAAAAGTGGAATGCAAACGAAATATCTATTAGGCATAAGAAGAGTGTGTTCCGCTCAAGTTTTCAACCCAAAATCGATATTTGTATATGATAACTAGTACCTTGAAAATATGGTGGCTTTGTTCTTGAGCTTCGACCACGTAGTGTCCAGATGCATCGAATGATTTTACCATTTTATAATTGATACATTACATTCATTCTACTGTCTTTTGAGCTATTTCTAATGTTAGGAAAATAATGGGACAAGAAATAGCGTTTCGTGACTATGATCAGTATAAGAGAAATCGCGTGATATTCTTAAGAGAATAATAGTTAGAATCTATTGAAAGTATTAGCTGAATTTGTGATTCTTCTCACTCATCTTTCTCATACATATTTATCCCTCCAAAAATCTCATAGTATATGAAATGGTCAATAAAGGATAGTAGATGTGTCAGCTAATTTCACAAAATGAAAACATCTCTGACTTTGGCACTGAGTGATACGAGTAGGAAAAGCCGGAATGACATGTTTTTCCTCAATGTTGCAAATATGCCTTCGTGATGAGCGTCAATATGCACAAAATCTAGGTCCAGGCTTCCTCCCGATTGACTAATAACAGTTTATAATATTTTATATTTATTTACGAGGTGGTAATAAAATTGTAAATATATGAAAATTTGGTTTGAAGTAGACATCTTAATCTGCACATCGGAATAGTTACTTGGATAACCTGAGTTTACTAGTGAGTAAGTAATATCGAAAATGATATATTTAAAATATCCCAGTATTACCGCATTACTGACATAAAATATCAGTCTATGGAAGATTGAATTACTCAGGGTTAATTAAAACCTTCGGTCTATTCAGAGGTTTACCTACTTTGAAACTGTAACCATGATAAAGTGTAGTCCAATGTTTGTAATAGATAAAGTATCGGGAGTGAACCCTTCCAGTACAGCAACATAAAAGTTGGCAATCAGTGTTAGAGTAAGAAATTAATTAGGTTCATAGCCTTCACATGCGAAACAGTCTTCTTCATAATTTTAAGCCAATAACTTTTATTGTGAGTGCCAGATCAGTACTTTCATAGCCTGTTGGTAAATCAATGGTTTACAAATTGCTCAAAAGATAACACTATGCTCCTCCCAGCTGAACACTTTTTCAACTATTAAGATATGATGTCTGTCAAGTTTCCATCAAAAGTGGGCTTTCGACTGCTGAAACAAGACTATTACAGACTGACCAAAGATTCTACTACAAAATAAAAGTAGACCAACATTAACCATGCCTACTCGTAGGTGTTATCGGAAGTACAGAAACAATCAGAACAGGAGATAAGTATGTAACTTGTGCAGATCAGAATTCATCTACCAAGTAACTTTGTAGATTAAATATTGAGCAATGAACTCCATGAACGACTTTCAAAAACGCTTACATCTCCAAGAATGAACATGCACTTTCTCTTTCAGTAAGTGTGTATCCACTTTGAGATGTGCTTAGAACAAGTTTTGAAATGAGATTTTTCATTTACTACCGATGGATGCTTCAAATGAACATATTTTGTGTTTACGGACATTGTTACAGTGAAAATCTATCATCAGTTTGAACTCGTTTTCACAAACGTCACAATGAAAGGGATTCATATACAATGAAGTTCATTGTCATGCATTTAGGAGACACTCATGGATCCCAGCAGTTCTATAATTGTGTTAAAACTTTGAAAGTCTTTCACATGCATTACTCCTGACAGATCTCACAACAAAATTGGGTCTAAAAGACTTTGGTTTTCAATGATATTTGCAATCTACCATGCTTCAGCGGCAGATTACTGTGAATGAGCTTTCTATAACTGAATTTCAAATGAGGCTTTACTAACTACTTTCTCTCGAACACTTTTAACAAATATATGGTCGTTTATTTTGTAGTCTGTTTGGTGGCTAACAGTGGAATCCAGACATGCATCCCGTCCATTTTGGATTTGCCAGCTGGGTGGATAGTGCTGTTGTGTTTGAAGCGATGGGTACTGGACTCAGGTCTCATTGGGAATAAAATCACTCACTGGGATGGAGGTACATACAATTGACGAGCCCCAAATGAGAAAAAAACGAGCATCCTCGATTCCATTGCTAGCTACCAAGCAGTTTGTAATATAATGAGTAGTCAGATGATATCGGGGCATCTGTATAGCAGACCACCTGCCAACAGAGGTAGAACAATTCAACCCAGTTTAGTAACGGGAGATTAAAAGTATCAAACGGTATAGCCATTTATCTAACATGCGGTTAATTAACCAGTAATGCCATGTAAAAAGCAGATTCAAAACATGTAGACAAAAAGGTAATTTATAGAATTATGTTAGGAGGGTTCCTCATGAATGAACTTTATGTTTACCAGTACTGGTTAGTTAGACATACTAGTTGATGTGTTTAAATTTAATTCTTGGTTTACAAATTGAATCAGTTTGAACCCTTGTTTGTCAGTAAAGCAACTGGATACATTTTAAGGACATTTATTTCCTGGACTGCGTGTTATAGAACTCGATTAGTTGTGTAACTATTTTGCTTTAGGTTTTAGTGTTTAAATTAAGTCTACCGATTCGTCACTTACTGTTCATTGAATGAAACAGGAAATGACCATTCAATTAATTGGCATAAAATTACAGTAAACTGAATCTAAGTATTTATAGCACGTCAGTATTCAGCTGATATGTTTGGTGTGTCCTAAAGACTAGATCAAGAGGGCAATTAAGTTATAGAAGCAAATTTCTACGACCTTTTTGGACGTGGATTATTACTATACTGTTCCATTCTCCCAACGTTTGACTTGTTTTAATACTGTAACTAAGGCACTAATTTTATAGAGTTAAATCATATCTAGTACAGGTGGCAGAAGGGTAGAATAATCAGACATTTTTCTAAGCCAAACATAAAATGAAAAATCATGTTCACTTCATTTGTGCAAATCATGTTTCAACAGGATCACAAAAATCTGTTCATAAAATCACTATGGTGGTAAAATGAAGCTTAGATAATAGGATAAATTTGAAGTGATTCACCCTTGTAAATTACCTGACATACCTATGGTTTTAGAATAACTTAATGGTTCTAATATCAAAAAGCTTCAGAAACAGCGTATATATGTAAATAAAATGTTAATATTTAAGGCTTAAAACTCAGAATTTTTGTAGTCTAGTCTATCTTCATTTTAGGTAACTATGTTTAGATAGATGCAGAGTCTATCAACTATGGCTAACCTGTGTGGTCTAACAGTTAATTATAAGTTGATGGAATGTGACCAGTATTACATTCTGATCTTCAGTGAGAACTGAGTTTCATCAACAGCAGGTGGTAATCTAGCAGATATAACAATAATGCACAGAACTTCTTGTTGTGTCCATAAAAGCTGAACAATGTAATTCAGAATCTCAGAAGGAACAAGAATTCCTTCAACAATGTAAACATATAAGCAGAAAACCTATACTCAAGGCTTTATGTTTTCCATCACAATTAGCGGAAACGCTAATTACTGCTATCATATGAAGATTGGCTTTAGCTATCTGTTGTTCACTCAACTTATACATAATTCACAAAATATGGGTAGCAGTTCAGTCTGTTTCAAAATGAATCAAGTATTAGTTTCAATAGTTAGTGTATGGGAAATAGTCACCATGAATGGTTTTTTGTCTTTCAAAAGATTTATGTACAAGCTGGTCCCAGAAAATTTGTGCATGCCTGAGAACATTCCAAAAGCATTAGGCTTTTATATGTTATAAAACTCTTTATACCATTGCACTTGTCAGTCGTGTGACCTATGAATCTTCAGAAATCAGCTCTGGTGTTAAAGCCTGGTGTAGCTGCTCCTGTACAAATGTGAGCGAAATCATACAGTGTATTGAACCTAAGCTAATACCTTATGGTTCCAACCTTTTTTAGTTCGAAAGATGAGTCAAAAGATCCTATGAAGGCTTCTATACATTTGCATGGCCACAGTTTATGCCTAATTAATGGCAGCAGCTGATATTACAACTGAGAGGAAAACATTTGACTGCAATTCAAATGCACGTAACTTCTGAAATACAAGGCACTTTGTGCATCGTATGGATGTCCTTACAATCAAATTTGATACAAATATTCCTAATAGGGGTTGCTATAACTACCCTTCAAGACAAACTGTCAAATTTAATGGATTATGATAACTGTTTGGCGTTCTCTGAGGCTTGAAGTTAGTTCCTGGGAGTAATTACTACTAGAGTGGCCTAGTATGGTGATGAAACTTCAAACCTCAGAGGATGCCAAACAATTACAACCATCATCCTCAGCTAAAATCCTCTTCTAATGTCTCATTAACCGGTTGCCCCCACCTTAAAAAGTTCCATCACACCTTGCCCCATACAAAATTACCGGGTTTACATATCGTGACTGCAGCAGATGTAGAATGTGTATACCATGAAATTGAAGTAAATTAAACAGATCCGACTATGAGGTATTATAGCTTGGGCCTACATTTATTCCGTAATAAATGTGCTAACGAATAGCTTATAAATTACAATTCGCTTACTATTTTATTAGCATTAGCCCGGTTATTAATCAGAATAAACCATTGAATGAGTATGTGTGCTGTAATATTTCCAAGCTTTAATCCTAGTAAATCACGGGTTTTTTCGATAAGTGGGTTTGAAATGAAATTAAAAATTCAGCAGAATCGTCCATGAGATACAATAATTTGCAAGTGTTGTGACCAGATGTAGCTTTTAAGGAGTATTAGGTTGTAAGCGAGATTTTACTGCTTTAAACATGAAAAAGAACTCGGATTGAAATCGGTATCCAGGTGAGTTATGATAAGAATCATTGAGAAAGATGAACAGGAGAACTAGAAGAGCTGAAAAAGCCGAAGACAGACGGATCGACAAATCAAAGAAAAGCTTTGAAAAGAGATAAACTGGTTAGTTAGGACTTAGCAAGATTGCTTGGTATCATGCACTACCAGTTTTACCGAATAAGATGGTCAGAAGTGTTGCCGTGACTAGTAGCTTACTGAACCTGCAGGAAATGAAAGTAAAGACAGGTTAAAAGAAAGAAATAATTATTTATCGATACAGAGAACAGCAACATGTTTAGCGGTAAAAATCTCAGGACTATTTAAGAGAGGTACAAAGAACTTATCTGGTGATAAACAGCTGAGCTAAGCAATTCAAACATGCAGACACGTATATCCCCATGACAGAAGCTCAAATCAAGACTAACCATGTGCAGACACTGACTCGATAATAGAAACTATCGAGGATTTTGAGTATCATTTAGGAAAATACGCATCACTCCAAAGGCCATGCTAGCAACTTCTGAAGTAACCAATCAGGTTTCAGAATTTTGGCTGCAAAGGAAGTTTTTCAGAAAATAAAGAAATGCTATTGGTCATCTCAACAGTTGTTAAGTTGGCATTTAGAGTCACTCGAAAGTAATCAGTTACCGAACTAATATTTTAGTAATTCTACATTAAATTGTATTCTGGTGTTAAGAAACTGAAGCACTCCCTAATTTCAGCACACGTATAACGCAATCACATTCATCTACCGAAACAACCAATAGTACTTAATATATAAACCACACAAAAACCACTATGGAAACTGGAACCGTGAGTGTAATGAGTTTTTTATGCGTGTTGCGCAGTATCGTAGAGGAATGGAATTCCAACAATGATCTTAGACCTGTCAACAAAAGTAGGACTATCTGTTACATGCAGCTATAGATAACTAGTCTTATTGACTTGTTCATCAGAAGAAAACTTTATGTAGACCTGCAGCACTGACTGGCCGAGCTTCCCTTCTGAATAGAAAAAGTGGTTATAAAATACTTTTAACAGGGCACAATTAGGCAGCACATTTAATTTTGAAGCACAGTAGATCTCGCATTACTTATCTATCATTCTGGACCATTTAATCACCTAAGATGAAACGGTCAGTTTATCCGTTTAAAGTGTAACTACTCACTTAAATCTCTATTGAAATAATTATTACATGTCTTTACCTTGTAGTGAGATCTAACTCAGTGAATCCAAATTTTAGGTTACATAGAGCTGGTTCACTGTATTTCTGATGCAGACCAATGGACAAAACATAAACTAAATTCTAAAAATGGGATGTGAATTTAACCAAAACTTGTTAACTTTTGTTTAGTTGTTATCGAATTGTTATTGCAGTAAACGCGTATCTGATTTATTGACTGAAACACATCTGTGGCAATAGAGCCTTACAGTAGTGATAAGGTAATTTTATAACTAATAGGAGTCAACAGTTTACCTTTGTCTGATGTTGCTGCTTCCTATTTCACTATACCCCTACTATTTAACATGTTCATATGATTAGTTTCACAAGCTGGGATTCAATCAGCTACCGACTACCTTGTACTCCAGATAAAGTTGTAGGAGGTTAAGATAAGGAGATTCCACTTACTGAACTATATATAAAATCATGAATAACTTGTGTAGAAGTTTTCTGACACTGAAGTTAAAACACATTACTTCTAGACTACGTGTTCATATAACTCCAAAGCTAGGTACAATAGATTCGCCCTGCAATGAGTACACATACATACTGTTATTGGGTGAGAATATTTTGCCGGACCGACTGCAAACATCAGAAAACAAATGCACCAAATCTTCAATGAATAATCCTTGGTTTACGTGAATCGAATGATGATAAACAATGGTAAACACTTCAGATAGTAGTAGTACATGAGTTATTGTTACAGTCAGTTTTTACAAAATTTATATTCATGTACAACTACATAAATTAGATTGACATTTTGAAACTAAGTTACAAAGTTTATTGTAGATAAATATGCCAGATGTATAGTCACTTCATGTTTTTGTTCTGATTAATTTTAGAGTCGAAGTCAAAAAAACACCACCGCCTCCGAAAATTAGAGTAAGTTTGTCCGATGCCTGTCATAGTGTTCATGCCTTATACTGTTCACCTTTCTTTGTTAATCGATAATAAAAGCTAAAATGATAAGTAAATTATGATTACCAATAATGATGTCATAATTATTTATTATGAATGAATAATTTATGTTGAATTTGCATGTTATCACAAGCTCATCTGTTTGATAAGCACAAATGCATAAAATGTACTTTTACCACTAAATTTTCAGTTGATAGCATCGACTATTAGAAAACAAAACAACAATCACCACTGTATTTATAATAAATAAAAGGATTCATATTGTGACTATTGCAATTGAAAAGAGAAGTGTTTGTTGTAAAGTGGATGTTTTAAGTTTGATAAAGACAATTAATCTGTTTTCACTGAATGAAATTCCTTTGTTACTCTGGTAGCATTTCATGGTGAATAATAAGGAAATGTGGAACGTGTTTCATTTTGTTTGTGATTCATCAGTCAGATATATACCTTCCTACTCAGACGAGAATCTTGAATTAGGTTCCTAAGAGTAATTCGCGATCTTGTGCATAGTTTATCAACTAACGTTATCTGAATTCAGTCAGTAGTATGGGTGTGTGGTTCTGATTTCCTATTTTGTGCAATAATAGAACAATGGCTATAATCATAAGTTGATATCAGTGAGACAAATGGTAAGAACAGAGAACCTTGAAATTATGTCTTCGAATACTGTTTTCAACTCTACTGCAAAGATAAGATTTCTAAGGGAAATAGAGCTTCATAATACGGCAGGAGCATGCATAAAACTAGTAGAGACAATTTTAGAGCAGTTGCTCTTGAAAGTGCAATTAATTATGGTAGGGCTGCAGTGTAAGTGTTTACTGTGACGTTATAGGGTACTTATTTACACCTAGAAAGAAGCAACATTAAATTTTCGTGAAGAAAGTTTTTGAAGAAGGCGAAACAAATAATAAACGGAACATTTGAAAATAATATAGTTTCAGAATAGTATAATTAGGCAAGAATTTAATTTAAGAAAAGTTCAACTAATATCAAGCATGCCGTTGTATATTTATGGAGACGATAATATGATAAACTAACGGGTTATTGTACATTGAGTCAAATATTTAATAAACTACTAGTAACAGTATTTTTAAGTGGTTTTTTACTAGCTTGTTTAGTCTCCTAGCTACTTTGAATATCTTTGTAATTATCAAAAAACCAAATGGCATTTAATGTATTAACTATCGAAGTTCAATATTTATTAGCAGTATGTCGCTTTAACCCCTTTGACAGGAACTAAATTAGAAACAAGATCAAATTTTCCCCGTAACACCGAAGCATATCCCCTTTTTAAAGTAAAATATGTGTGGCTGTAAATTATCAACCAGCGCAAAGCGGAGTAAATAACTTACAGTAACCTCTTGATAAGAAATATCGACGTCCTTAGTCTGGTCATTCGATAGTATTATGCTGCGAAAATAAGTGTCTCTTGTTTGAGTGGAATGATCATGGTAAAGAAAGCTTGAAAAGTCTTCTGAATATTGACTAGCAGTGTGAGAACCTTTATAATGTTGCTCTTACCTTCTAATTTCGCACATCCAACTCGGGAATGGTCTTCATATTATGCTTTGCAAAAAGGAGTGAATTGGTTCAGTGTATTAACCATTTTTTTTTTATCTTAAAAGTCAAATAATTCCTATGAGTTTGGAGAGTTATGAAATTTTAGCAAAAAATTCAAAGAGTACGGTTAAATTTCATCAACATAGACTAATTGTAGCCTCACTTGTGGGTTTCAGAGTGACTATTAAGAGCAGCGTTCTAAGAATAAAATAACTCTAGTCTTTTGAACAATATATTCACTAAAGTTAGATTTGTGAAGGCTACAGATATTTGACAATTGCTGCCTCATTTCTGGAATCCCTTTGTGAACCAGTGGTAGTCAGACTGGGAGTGTTCTATAAAGGAGATAAGTCAGCTGACTGGGTCATCAAAGTTACACAAATCAGATGGCTAATGTACGTGCTGCGCATAACTGGCAAAGTTAACCGATTAGTCTCAAATTTACATAAAATTAGGGTGACCAAAAAATGTGTATCCACTCAACCAGTTCTGCATATGTTGGCCAGAAGCATATACGTAAACGTGATCTTCCTATTTCGGGTTTCTCAGATAATTTAAGTTAGGGTTGGAGACTTTGACGTATCACCCCCGTGTTCGTCTAAATTCTTAAAATCTTATTTTAGCATTATTTTCCTCATCCCCTTTCTGTTTCATATGACAGATTTTATGATTTTCTATTTGCTGTGTTTCCAACTGTTGTTATCATGTTTGGCTGTATAAAGTAAACTGAAAGAAAACTCAAGCATATCACGTTGTATGCTGTTTATTTCAGTCTGCCGTATGTACACATAATTGTTAGTGAAATAATCGATTTGGCTTTCCGAACAGTTTACTGTCAACGGATTCCTAACTGATTTTATGATCCCTCGTAAGCAAACAAAGCAAATAATTGAAGTAGAATGTAGCAATAAGCTCTCACCTAAACCACTATGAAGCAATTAGTTGAAAAGCTGAAACCAATAAAATAAGTAAATATTGCGTAATGAGACGTCATTATTATTTTATGTACATTACCTGGATGGAAATGTTATTCGTTACGCTATGTGAACTAGGGGAGGCTTTGCAAAAACAGCCCTCATGGAGAACGGGAATTATTAATGGGTAACCTAAGTTGGAAATAAACTTCAGCATATAGGTATATATTGAACAAAAGTTTATTCTTCCATTATCTCGCTTTAAGATAGCTAAGCAAGATTAAAAAATGGGTACTGCATGCTTTTCTCTCTCTGAATATTAAGTATTTCTCCATTTTAAACTAAGCAAAAATGCTCAAAATTTAGATAGTAATTGGGTGAACAAATGAAAACTAGATTTGGGATGGTTGTTTCATTACTGATCTTAGAAAGGTGTTTGTTGATAACTTCCGTTCACATGATACTGGCACAAAAATAATTTTCACATTTGAGTAACTCAGTAAACCGCAAAAAGTATATTTCTAAGTCACTTGACTTATTGTCGTGTGCTTAGACTTTAGTTTTTACAAGCTGGCCTTATTAGATTCGACGGATGTAAGCGTAATCTGTCCAACATAATTTTGTAGACTCAAAAGCACTCAAATTTGATCGTGAAACTTTGATCATTAGCAAATTATGTTTTTAACTTCCGAGATATTTAGTACACTGAATTAAACGTTGGCAGATTACTTACACATTTCGTGATCAGCACTGATATATTTTTACGGTTGAATGTTTTTTCAGCCAATTAACTATGGTGTCGAAAGGATTCAACCAAAGCCACCTATTCAATATTACAAATCTTGATTTCTAACATATTAGTCTCCTTGACTATCTACAATTTTCAACGCAGAGGCATCGTAATGTGATCAGATTCAAGTCGTTAAAATGATACGCTTGTCTTGGGTAAATTTGTGTGAGTATAAATATATGTTTTGATATAATCATAGATTAGAAAATCAGAACAAGATTTTTTCTGAACGTCTCACTGTGTAAGGCATAGCTTCTTCAGTAAAATTATTTCAATTTTATCGAAAACTAAGATGTATAACCAAATACTACGGTAAATGAACTAGTGAAATTTTATTGTCGCGTAGACTGATGTAACTAGTTGTCATAGAATGTTTATTTTTGTTATAGTGTGGAATAAGGTCACCGAAATCTTCATACGTAGTCTTAAACCGTTAAAGCTTTTTTCAACCAACCTGATACTTATACGTTGGTTCACAGTTTTTTCCTGAAACTTCGAAGCAAAGCGATTGGTTGAAAAAGGCTTCGAACATTTACAGATTCTTATGAAGATTTTGTCAACCTTTCTGTACACTATTTCAATTTTGATGTTATTATTTTAGGTAACCCGTGTAACCGTAAGGTCTAACAGCTATTTGAAAGTTAAGTCTGAACCTGCTATTTTTAAAGAATTTGCACAGTGTTTTTCATGTGGTCAACAAGTTCAGTTCTTTTCTGCTGATTAAGTTACAAGTAATGAGAATATGTAGGGCTTCAGAGGTTAATCTTTACTTTCAGCAGGGACCCTTTCCTAAAACATATGAGCTACCCGACAAGTTCATATTGCCACGTTTGATAGACACAGCTATTAGACACATTAGCTATTATGAAAATGTTGAGTTCTTTTCGAGTCATTTATGGTCAATTTGTTCCTAAGTTGTGTTAATTTACTCTATTTTTTAAGGGTCCATAGCTTCCTCCAGTGTAATTGGTCTTATGTCCCAGATATTCATTGTTAGAGAACCAGTTGTTCTGTATCATCTCTTGGGTTGAATATTTTACCTTAACTTAGGTGTTTTACGAAGGATTCTAAATTTTTAAGTGGGCTGCGAAACCTAAAAGGCTAATACTCTTTGAATTGCACTGTGCTACCCTTGAAAACATCATAGTTGACACCTATGATTTTGTTGAGGTTTTACTTCCAGTGTTAGGTATTTTATCCATCTGATTAAAAATGCTGGATGAAAATATTCGTATGAAGCTTTAAATATCGAAATAATCCCATTTAAAAGTAGGAAAACACAATTGCTGTGAAGTAGAATTTCTCTTTTCGACAAGATCATTCTCTTAGATATGCCCCTGTAAATATATATTAAAAAGGATGGGACATTCCAGAGTAATTTCTGATCAAAGATGAATACAAATTACATTACAAAGGAAAGCTATGCAGCGGGAAATAAACGAAATGTTTACAAAATAAAAGTAGTTACGTCATATATGGGTTGTTTAAAGTGATAGATAATCCAAGATCGCCATGACAAAGAAAGATTGTACATACCACTTTTGAACGCATAATAACTCATAATATCCAATAGGAGAATGTGATTCTAAGATCGGTGGCAAAGGACGTTCTGTTTATAGACCTAGTTAATCTCTTTCCAAGTATATCTGCCGCATTATCTCCCTTGAATTCGAGATTCAATAATAAAATCGTTTCCGGAGTAGTATCTACGCATTCTTATCCATAAATTTTAGCGGGAATCTATTTTTCATCAAGATTTCTCACAAGTT